TTATATTTGGTCATAAAATCTCTAACCAAATATTTGAATTCTTTAGCATACAAACACCAACATAATATTTCTTCCTGGTTGGCTTTCATTGCGCTTTCTTCAGCGTTGCATGCATTTTGATATAAGTTAATGATGTTTTTAGTCCTATAAGGCCTGCTTTTGCAGTTATCTGAAGTCTCACGAAGTGAGAATGCTTCTGCATTTGTGATACATGTGCTTTTTTGATCTGAAGATAGACCCGAAGGGGAATCGAAGATTCGATGCTCTGCATCATCATTGCTTCGCAATAAATTTTCATTTATATGATTTTTTTCGAGTGATATTTCCTGTATTAAATCTTCTCCCTTTTTCTGTTTATGTGAATCCTGGTCGTTAATTATTTCAGTATTGCATAATATATCCGACGAAATATTGTGGTTAACTGGAGATAAGTCCTGAGATTGGTTTTTATCCGATTCACGTAGAAGTTTCCTTTCCTTATTTCGTTGTCTTATTTCATTACTAACCTTTTCCTTAGTATCAATGCACTGATCTATAACGGGGTTGGGTACATTAACAGTGTTCTCAGAAGAATTATCACCGTCTTCTAGCCGATGTTCAAAATTCTGTTCTAATTTCGCAACTCTAGCTTTAAGTTCGGCATTTTCAGTGGTAGTCTCTATCCTATTTTTCTCTAATTCCTCGATTCTGGTTTTAAGCTCAGTATTCTCTTTTATAAACCGCCTTAGCTTCGCGTTCTCAGCTTTAACTTCGATATTCTCAGCCTCAACCCCAGCATACTTCTTTTTAAGTTCAGTAATCTCTACAATAAGCTTGGAATTCTGTTCTTCTAACGAATTAATTTTGGATTGTATATTTGCCATTGTTTCATATAAGATATTATTTATTTAAATTTTCGAGTTAAAACAAAAATCAAATTTTCAAGAAATTTCGCAGACCTCGGGTCGCTCAAATTTCACAGACCTCAGGTCGTTCAAGTTTACCAAGAAAATTCCCGATCATATGCAAGTTAATAGACATCAATATCAATATACACATGCAAAAGTAAACTGATTACGTATGCGAAATCGAGCCACCAGGGCTAGCTTTATTGATATATAAAATAAAAATAATGTACAGGAAAAAAATACAGAGCAAATGTGTTATAAAACTTTGCGCATTTGATAAATCAGTTTATATGCATTTACTATAATTATTAAAAAAAATATATATCTACGAGTAAAATAAAAATGAGCGTTCGTTGGGTGGTTATCCACGTGGAGGTCAATGATCGAGTGACCCATGTACCACACTTTGGTGGATTTGGAATTAAAGAAAAGAGCATGGAGGAAGGTATATGGACAAGAAACTTAGAATGTATCCTCTTGCCGTTAGAACATTTATAGACGAAATGGGCATAAACTTCACTTCGACTATTAATGGTTGCCTGAAGGATGTAAATATGTAATTTGTTTATATCTGACAAGAGGATCACCGTTTCGGCCATGTCGTAATACACTTCGTGCAGACAAATCTTATTACTTATATTTTGTATTTATCTATCGTGCTAAAATTGTGTGATGTAAATTTCACTGACCCGAAAAAATTAGATATATATGGCAAATGCAATTTTATTTTTTAGCCTGAAACGGCTCCTTTGATACAAACATAAAATATACAAATGACTTGTCAAGTTTCGGCTTTGCCGGCTCTGCCAAAGAAATATAAAACTTTATTATGCTTAACTATTAAGTCACATATATGACACGGTATCACGTAAGGAACAAGAAATTTCATTTTTTGGAACAATCCATATCAAAATTAAAGTTTGATCATTGTTTGTAGGAACCTAGCATGTTACGGATCTGCGGAGAGTCTGGGACACTACGCATATATCGAATTTGTAGAGGCGGTGTGAATGGACCCCTTCGACGTTTATAATTTTTCGCAAGTTCACATACACGTCTCTGTGAATTCAAATATTTATTATAAAATTTAAATAAAAATATATAAACAAAACATGACATACCTCTAAGGCCACAAAATGAGCAAAGTTTGATTCGATCAAAGGCAAACTGGGTTCATCAATTGCCAATTTTGTTGTGAGAAAAGGCCAAGACCGATATAGCCCATCAAATTCGAGGTCCATAAAATACGTTTGTACAATATCACCTGTAATTTCCGACAAATGATTTAGTAAATAAAGATAACAATTTGACTGTTCCGTATAAAAAAACAAACCATGATTGAGGAGCATTGCTGTTTCTCCTGGGCCACCTTTCGAGGTCAATTGCTGATTGATTGTCTTTCTTGCCCGTAAATGAACTTTTGAAAAATCCTTTTTCTTGTTTAAAGGACGGCTCCCCATTGGCTTAATTTCAGAATTTAATAAAGCTACATTATCCACGACGCATGAAAGGTCAGGTCTTTGTTTTGTGCCCTTGACGGCTCGATTTAATTGCACTTCGTAATTATTGTTTTTCTTCAGAAAAATCGGACTTATGTAAGGATTCAGAAATATACGGCAATGTTCATCCTCGGAAGTCCTTTGTGGTGCAAGATCAGGTAAATTCTCTCGCCTAAATGTGTGTTAATAAATTTCATTAAGCAAGTCAATCAAAACAAAAAATATATATTAACCTACAACTCATTGAAGGTTCGTGCGACTGCTCTGCTCAATGGAGTTTCGTCTGCATGCATATAACTGTCCCGACCTAACAAGTGCTTGATCACGGTTTCATGTAAGGCAGTTGATACCGAAGATGGTATCACTGGCTCATGGATTGTATATTTGTTTGTTTGAGTTATCGACTGCCACTCTTCTTCAGTAAAATTTGGATAAGGACAGTTTCGGCCGAGCACAATTATGGATGAGAGTGCTCTAAAGTGCAATGTGAAATGATATTTACGTGTGAGCACGCTTACAAGACGAAAAGGAAGTGAACTTGATATTTGATTCATCTATCGATCGCGATTATCGTAGGTGCTGTTGCTTACAAGGTTTCGTATGTATTATACCAGGTTAATCCAGTTGTCTTAAGTGTTTCGAGAACCTCTTGCTGATATTCACGGAATTTTCGTGTAACATTAATACCATGCACTTTCCACTGATTCACAAAAACAATAGTAAAAAATGTGGCAAAACAATTGCAAAACAATAATAATCAAAAATTAATCAAATACTTCATTTATTGGTTCTTGTTGCAAACTCTTAACAACTGAATCGAAATCAAATTCAAGGCTTTCATCGTCTTCTAACATATCTTCATGGTCATCTACTATTTCGATCCCATCTGCATGGTTATCTGTTGTTTCGATCTTGTTGTTATGATTATCCAGTGTTTCGATCTCATCGACATTGTCATCCGCTATTGTGACTTTTGACCGTTTTTGGTTTCGCTTAGTCTGATCATTTTAATAATTAAATTTGTAATTCATTCGGAACAAATCATAAAGCAATTGATTCTAACTAAAATGCACATCGGTACCTCTTTTTGATGCTCTTGACTTCTTTTTGTTGAATCTATCCTTGCATTGAAAGCTCCAACTATTGAATCAACTATAGAATTGCCACTGATTGTCACTTTAGGATGGTTAAGGCGAACCGAAAGCCCAGGCTTATGCGTCATTTCCCATTGCCTTGCCATTTTATAATCGGGTTGGGTACCCTAGCACGAAATATTTGAGGGCTTAATAATATTCTTGACTAATAATCAAATCTCACATTTGGTTTCCCATCCTATCCGAGCATCAGCCAAACTTAAAGATTGCCTGTGCTCTAATAGGTCCAGTGTTGGCTCGACTTAAGGACTTAAGCATCATGCAAACTTAAAGATCACCTGTGCTGGCTCGACTTAAAGACTTGAAACGTCAGGCAAACTTAAAGATCACCTGTGTCCCAACACTGGTTTTGTGGCTCGACTTTAAGACTTGAATGACAGAGAAACTTAAAGATTCCTGCACGCCACTTACTCCCAACCTACATTTCCAATAAAAAAGCTTTTACTTGCCTTTTTATAATTATCATAGAGAAGCTGTGCTTTGTCACGCCTCGCCCCTTGTTCATGGTTAATAATGTTCTCGAGATTTTTTAAATAGACACCGATCTTCAGTTGGAACGATTCTTCGTCACTTTCGTTTAGAAATCCTATAATACTCCATTCACTATGCCTTCGATTAAAATATTCGTGTATACGCATGATATTGTGAAGCACAACTATAAAATTCCGAATGGTGAAAGTCTTAGATTTTGGGGATTTACCGTTATATTTTGTTTTTGATCCTCAATATAGAGTATTCACATGGTCGCGTATCGGGATTTTGTACAACTTGGAATGGTATTTGTTCATGTGGATTGAAGCCTCTTGAGCATAACGAGAATGCCCGCATTTAGCGAAGTTACAGATTTATTTATTATTTTTATCTCATGACTAGAGTTTCCACAAAGTGAAGTAGCATAGCTAATTACTGGCTTTGGTTAGGCAATTTCTACTTGTGCCCCGTCTTACAAATAAGTTATGCATAACGATAAGGCTTGTAAGGTGATACAGATAAGTTTTATATGTGGAATTATTATGCTAACGCTAATAAACGTGGACAAATTTTGTTTAAATTATTCAGATTTACATATTTTTATTTAGCGTTAATTATTCGAGAATTATCACATTCACATCGCCTATATATTCCATCCGCTACTTTTTTACAGGTCTTACAATATAGGTGTGAATGATGATCGCATTCGTCACAGACCTTACACCCGTGCTTCCAACCTCTAAAGATATGCCACTTTTCGAAGTAATTTTTTTT